AAAACTTACAACCAACCAACAGGATTTAATGGACATTTACAGAACTTTCCATCCAACAGCATCAGAACACATATTCTTCAAGTATCCATGGAATATTCACTAAGATATACTATATCCTGGGCCATAATACAAATCAACAAATTTAAAAGAATTTCATCATACAGTGTATTCTCTGACCAAAATGAAATCAAACTAGAAATCAGTACCTGAAAGGTAACAGGAAAATCTCCAAACACCTAGAAATTAAGCAACATACTTCTACATAACCCATGAGTCAAGGAGGAAGTCTTGAGGGAAATAAAAAATAGATATTTTTAAATGAAAGTACAATTCATTAAAATATGTAGGATAAACTAATGCAGTGCTGGAAAAAATGTAACGCTACATATTTATATTAGAGTAAAAGTCTCAAAATTCTAAGCTACCACCTCAAGAAACTAAAAAATGAGCAAAACAATCTCAGAGAAAGCAGGAAGAAGGAAACAGATAAAAGCAGAAATCAATGAAACAGAAAAATAGATAAAAGTCAATGGAACAAAAGCTCGTTCTTTGTAAAAATCAAGTTCACAAATCTCCAGCAAATGAAGAATAAAAGAGAAGACAGCCTACATTACAGATACCAGGAATGAAACAGGTTATCACCAAGCTCCAAAGACACTGAGGCTAAGAAGGGATACTATGAACCACCTATGCGTACATTTGATGACTTAGATAAAGTGGAATAATTTCTTGAAAAGCACAAACTGCCAAAACTCACCCAATACAAAATATATCATTTCAACTACCAAAAAAATTAAATTCATACTTTAAAACTCCCTAAAGAGACATTTCTAGTCCCAAGTGGTTTCACTGAAGAATTTTATTACACATCTAAAGATGTTCTCTTTAAGAGAAGAGGGAAACACTAACTCATTTTGTAAGTCTCACAATAAACACATGAAATCTGAAGTTAAAAATACAAGACACTATATTAATTGCTCAAAATCCAATAGCACCAAGAGAGAAACTACGTGTGAATATAGACACAAAACTTCTAAACAGAATATTAACCAGTAAACTCCAGCAATGTATAAAAAAAATAAAAAATCACACACTACAACCAAGTGGGTTTATCCAGGGATAGATTTAATATTGAAAAAAAAAATATCAAAGTAACCCACCATATTAACATATTCTTAAAGAAAAAAATCCCATGATCATTTCAACTGACGCAGAAAAGCATAGCTGACAAAATTCAACACTCATTCATAAAAATTCTCAGAAAACTAGGAATAGAGAGTAACTTCCTCAACTTGATAAAGAAGATCTACGAAAATTATACAGAAACATCAAACTTATTGGTGAAGCCTGAATAGGTAAGAAAAAGACAAGGATGTAGACTCTCATTGCTCGTACTCAACACAGTATGGGAGCCCGGGCCAGTGCTAGTAAATGAATTCAGAAAAGTCATTAGAGGTAAGATTAAAATATAAAAGTCAATTATACATCTATATACTAGCAATTAACATATAGAAATTGAAATTAAAACTATAAGACCATTTGCAATTGCTCAAAATTTAGAACACTTAGGGGCACTGGCTCAGTTGGTAGAACATGCAACTCTTGATCTTGGGGTCAGGAGTTCAAGCCCCAAGTGTAGCATAGAGTTAAATTTAAGATTTAAAAAAAATGAGTGTTAAAAAATGAAATTTTATAGGTATCAGTCTAGGTATAAAGTATAGGTATCAATCTAACAGGTATAAAATTTGTATGCTAAAACTGTTTTATTCAAAACATGAATAAAAGAAATCAAAAGAGGTATATAGAAAGATGTGCCACCTTCAAGGGCTCAAAGATTCAACATAGTTAAAACTTAAGTTTTCCCAAAATGATATAACATTTTAACAGGATTCCTATCGAAATCTCAGAAAAATGTTTTGTAGATATAGAAAAGCTTATTCTAAGATGTATATGAAAAGGCAAAGAAACTAAATGAGCCAAAACAATCTTGAAAGAGAATATTAGATTTTACCTGATTTTAAGACTTACCAGTAATCTTAGAGAATGTGCCATTAGTGGAATGACAGATACACAGATCAGTGGAACAGAAGTGAGAACCCAGATATACAGTCATACTAGTCTGGCCAATTGATTTTTGACAAAGGTGTAAAAACAATTCAATGAGAAGAATGTTTTTTTCATTTAGTGGTGCTGTACCAACTGGACATCCGTAAGCAAAAAAATAATCATAAGCCTCTACCTAGGCCAATATAAAAATTAACTCGGGATGCTTGGCTGGCTCAGTCAGCAGAGCTTATGACTCTTGATCTCAGTGTTGTAATCCAAGCCCCACAGTGGGTATAGAGATTACTTAAGAATATTTTTAAATTTAACAGGCAACTGACAGAATGGGAAAAGATAGTTGCAAATGACATATCAGATAAAGGGCTAGTATCCAAAATCTACAAGGAACTCACCAAACTCCACACCCGAAAAACAAATAATCCAGTGAAGAAATGGGCAGAAGACATGAGCAGACACTTCTCCAAAGAGGACATCCAGATGGCCAAAAGACACATGAAACGATGTTCAGCATCCTTCATCAGGGAAATACTAATCAAAGCCACACTCATATACCACCTCACGGCAGTCAGAGTGGCGAAAATGAACAAATCAGGAGACTCTAGATGCTGGCGAGGATGTGGAGAAACGGGCACCCTCCTACACTGTTGGTGGGAATGTAAACTGGTGCAGCCCCTCTGGAAAACAGTATAGAGATTCCTCAATAAAATGAACAATAGAACTCCCCTATGACCCAGCAATAGCACTGCTAGAAATTTACCCAAGGGATACAGGAATGCTCATGCATAGGGGCACATGGACCCCAATGTTCATAGCAGCACTTTCAATCATAGCCAAAACATGGAAAGAGCCCAAGTGTCCATCAACTGACAAATGGATCACGAAAATGTGGTTCATTTATACAATGGAATACTACATGGCAATGAGAAAGAATGAAATCTGGCCCTGTGTAGCAACATGGATGGAACTCGAGGGTGTTATGCTGAGCAAAGTCAGTCAGGCAGAGGAGGACAGATACCGTATGTTTGCACATATAGGTTGATTAGGAGAAAGCTAACAGAGGACCATGAGGGAGAAGAAGGGGAAAAATAGTTGGGGAGAGGGAGGGAGGCAAACCATGAGAGACTCTTGAATGCTGAGAACAAACTGAGGGCAGATGGGGTAGAGGGGAGGGGGGGGGGTGATGGGCACGGAGGAGGGCACTTATGGGGGTGAGCACTGGGTGTTATATGGAAACCAACCTGACAAACTATAAAAGAAAAATAAACTAAAAAATACAGATTATAAAAAAATATTTAACTGAAAATGGATCATGGATTTAAATGTAAAATGCAAAAATATGAAACATTTGGGTAAAAAAAATAGGAAGTCTATGATCCATGCAAAGAGTTCTTAGAAATGACACCAAAAGCACAATCCACAAAAGGGGGGAAAAAAAATCACTAAACTGGACTTCTGTGAAAGACTCTAAGAGGATGAAAAGTCAAGCTACTGGACAGAAAACAGTATCTAGACTATATAAAGAACTCTCTAAATTCAGCAGTAAAAAATAAACAATACAGGTAGATAACTGGCAGAAGGCACAAATGGTATTTCACCAAAGAAATTATACAGATGACAAACAGGCACATGAAAAGATGTTCAACATCACTGTTAGGGAATGCAGATTAAACTGGGAGATACCACTGCACAGCTATCACACCAACTAATATTTAGTCTTAATAATCCTGGATGCCTGGCAAGTATGCAGAAAAACCAAGTATTTCAAGCACTGCTAGTGGGAATGTGAAATGGTAGAGCCATTCTGGAAAACAGCTTGGGCTGATCTTTATAAAAGTAAACATGTGGGGCGCCTGGGTGGCTCAGCCAGTTAAGCATCTGACTTTGGCTCAGGTCATGATCTCACAGTTCGTGGGTTTGAGCCCCACATTGGGCTCTGTGCTGACTGCCAGCTCAGAGCCTGGAGCCTGTTTCGGATTCTGTTTCCCTCTCTCTCTGTAACCTTCCCCTGCTCACACTGTCTCTCTCTCTCTCTCAGAAATAAAAAACATTTTAAAAAAAGACAAATATTTAAAAAATAAATAAAAAGTAAACATGTATCCTACAATCCAGCACTCAAGCTTCTGGATATTTATCCCTGAGAAATTAAAACATGTCCACACAAAAACCTGTACACAAATATGCACATGTATTCATAACAGCCAAAAACTGGAAACAACCAAATGCCCTTCCACAATAGAATGGTTCCACACTGTGTGCTCCATCTGCATCATGGACGAATACACCCTGCAATGAAAACCACGAACTACTGATACACACAACTTGATGGATCTCAAGGGCATTATGCTCAGTGGGGAAAGAAACAGTCTCAAAGGTTACATGCTATAGGATTCCATTTGTCTAACATTCTCAAAATGACAAAATTATGAGATGAAAGATGTAAGCGGGTTCCACACGTTAGGGTCAGGGAGAGCAGGACAAGTCTGACTAGAAAGCAGCAAGAGGGAGTTCTTTGTGGTTCTGTATCTTGCCTGTGTTGGTGGATAGGGGACAGCAAAGGAACGGAATGGAACCATACTCAAAGTCCCAATGTACAAAAGCGCTAAAACTGTAGTTTCTGTGATTTAACGAGGACGAGGTATAGAGGCAGATTTCCGCTTCGCCCCCTAATGGTGGCTCCAGAAGCAGCAGTGACTACAAAGTTTAAGACTCAAAGTGGATGACTCAGGCTTCTCATTTGCATTCCCATAGTACTCTTCATTGAGTATTTTCAAAGTTAAAAGACTTTCTTCCAACTCAACATTTATAACTATGAGAAGCGTACTTACACAATTTCTTGTACAAACTCTGGGTAAGGAGCAGCACTTATGGATAACGAGTCACCATCAGTGAACTAAGACTTGTGGTTAGTGGACTAGTAAGATGGACACCACAGAGCCATACTCTGGTTTCTCTTCAGATCGAATAAATCTTTCGCCTTTTACTAAAGATTTCCGTGGAGAGAAACAATTCTGAGTGCTTAACCAATTTTTTGAGGCCTTGCCCTGGGCAAGGCTATATTAGTTGTTGTAAGAAAAGACTGAGCTTCTAGGGGGGAAAAGGAATAAACAACTCTATGGTATGTTCCAAGTTTCCCTTTTTGGCTATTTCATAAGGAACTATTCCAAGTATCAGCAGAATGTTCCCAGGGATGAGACTTATAAACTAGCAGAGCTTTAGTTAGAAACATTGTTGCCTGGTACAAGTAGTTCACTATATGATTAGGGGTCAGTAGTTTACTAGGAATATTAAGAATATATATCTTTTAGGATGGCCCCCCAAGGCTAGAACCAAAGGCTTTGTATTCAGCTACAGGGTTGGAGGTTAAGAATATAAATCTTTTAGGACGGCCCCCCAAGGCTAGACCCAAAGGCTTTGTATTCAGCTACAGGGTTGGAGGTTAAGAATATAAATCTTTTAGGACGGCCCCCCAAGGCTAGACCCAAAGGCTTTGTATTCAGCTACAGGGTTGGAGAATTTCTGGTTGTCTGATACCAAATAGCTCAGAATCCCTTTCTATAGAATTTCGCAGTAGCACAAGCTCTCCTAAAGGATTTCATCGGCCCTGGGACTGATTTCTACTGCTTGCCTAATAAGTGTGTGATAGGTAGAATTTGGTCAGAGATTTGCTTTTCATGAAACCTGGGAGCAAAATGATGATGAAATAACCCTCACCACTGCTCCCCAGCACCACCTTTGCATCTTCTCCCACGGGCCCTACGATCTCACTCTTACCCTGCAGCTTCTCCTAACTTCTTTTTAACAGAGACTTATCAACTGTCATGTAATGATTTTAAAAGGCAAGAAACTTCTAAAGAATGCTGACAGGCACTACTTTTAGGGAACCACTGAGAGAAGGAAGCATTTCCCTTCCTCCCCACATTTCTCCCCCAAGATTCAGCTTCAGGCTGCAGCTCACACTGCCTAGGCGGGGAAGAACCTGCTGCTTTGCTCTGAATGTTGTTAGAGACCTTATACGGGACATGTTGTGAGCAGTGAGGAACAAGGGAGCTGGCATGTGAAGGGCACTAATCGGAAATCCAGTCCCAGATGGCTGCAATTCAAATAATATCCAGTATCAGTATCTAAAGCCTCACATGAGAATATTAGCATAAGCAATGTTAGAAATAATTTATAAACGAAAGAAGTGGTGTTCAATATCTGTGTTGGGTTAAGAGATTTTCTCAAGGATGAGGCACCAGTCGCTCAGCCAGTGGTCCCCTCTTCAGAGTAGTTGGATAGGAAGTTCAACCCCGGGGGAAAAAAAAAAAAAAAAAAGCAATAGTGAGCATGAACAGGGGAGGCAGAGAGAGAGAGAGAGAGAGAGAGAAGGACAGAGAATCCCAAGCAGGCTCTGCACTATCAGCACAAAGCCCCATGTGGGGCTCAAACTCATGAACCCAGAGTGACCTGAGCCAAAGTCAAGAGTTGGATGCTTAACCGACTGAGCCACCCAGGCATCCTTGGAGGAATACTATTGACCCATCATTTAAAATGCCCTGTGAATTAAATCATTCTTTCTTCAAATATTAAAAAAAAAAAAAAAAAAAAACAACAACAACAGAAAACCAGCACCCAAAGCTTCAGGGAAAATGGTCCTAAGTCTAGCCCGCCTTTGGTTCTGTGTCCCTTCACTTCCTAAAAGACTATCCCCTGATCAGACTCACAGGGCATCTGCTCCCAACCACAGAGAAGGGCTGCCTCAGCCTCGGATGAATCCTTCCTGCAAGGTGCCCGTTGCAGCACCTAAAGTCAGAGAACAGAGGCTTCTCAAGCTTTCAGGAACAAGTTTAATGGCAAGTTTGGCACCTGCCTACTAATAAATGTTGCACACACAGCACAATTCAGATCCCGACTCTTTCCCTAAAACGTTACTACTTGGCAGCAAAGTTGAGGGCCACGAAGACATTTCACTGCTACCCACCTCCACCTGCCGGAAGTCACCAAGTAAAACTGAAGAATCTGACTTTTGTTGAAGCATCAGGCAGGCTTGGGTAAGTTCAAAACATGGCCTTCCGGAGACAGCCTCAGCTCAAATCTGCCTCTTCCAGGGAGCCTTCCCTGGCCATTCCACAATTAGAAATTCTCCCAGTAATTTTTGGCTGTACTTGCAAGAGACACTCACGCACCTGGAAACACTGTGTTACATGTAATGCGAGGGCCAAATTTCAGGCAAGACACACAGATAGGGCCAGGTGTCCTGGCTGTGGATTACTGGGATCTGTTCCGTTTGACTGACGCTTCTCCCCTTTGTTAAACACATACAGCATCATCCCTGTTAAAGCTGTCTGTCAGCCTGGCATTCTCAGACCCGGTATAAGCAACCTGAGGAAAGAAACCACACCTGTCACTTCTCTTAGCTTCCGGCACCTATCGCACCCCGGGCCCCAAAGCAGTCGGTAAGTAAACAGTCACGTGTAAACTGACTGGTTTGTGGCCAAGAAATTTCTCATGCAAAACCTGTATCCCCACTGCAAGATCTAAGTATTCATGGGAAACACCCCATTTCTATTCACCTCCTCTTCTCTCTCACTCACATACACACACACACACACACACACACACACACACACACTTTTTGCAGAGCTAAACTCTTGGTCCTAACTTCACCTTATTTCCCCTGGCTTCTTCAAGTGCCTTTATAATGCAACAGTATTTTCTATGAACTAGTGGATAGGAGAGAGGAGGACAAAGCAGGGGACGTGGAGGCTAAGAGTTAGTGAGCAAACATGAGGTGTATCCATCTGCACTGCAGATCCTATTTTGACGTAAGGCAGGGAGTGACACTCGTTTCTAGCCTCCCCAGGAAATCACTACCACCTCTTTTTTGTCTTGCTACAAATCTGCCACACATCAAGAACGAAATCCAGCTGCGATGAAGCCAAGTAAGAGTATACTGACAACATAAAGAACTCCTGCTCTTTACCTAACAAAAGGGAATCAAGCCCAACGTGTGCTCACGAACCTTCCTTCCAACACTGGCCTGCGGGTTTCCTGGCCCTACCACGAGGACATCCTTCAGCCCACACGCTCTTTGCCCGGGGGGCGGGGGTGGGGGGGGCTGGCAGAGAGCAGAAGCATCTATCTGCTGTGCAGCCCCTCTGTAAAGGGGCAAAGCTGCATGAAATCCAATTTTCTGTTAATAAGGACAGGCTTCAAGTTCTCACACACAGCCGAACTGCTTATTAATCTGCTCCCATCAGATGGAAGGAGGCAGAGATACATACTAAGAACACTGACATCATCTTTGAGAGTCTATGGCTTAACGAAAACGAGGTAAAACCTAAACTCTCTAAACCTGCCAGAATTTAGACACATGAAACAAAGCCAAATGTGGCCGAGGACCCATGTTCCTTTACGGTAAGCCCCCAACAAGATAGGCATGTTCACCACGATCCAAGGAACACTCCTGGACCCTCGGGCAGGGAGAGGCAGAGATGAAAGATCCCCTTACATCTACAACAGATAACAGTTAGATAACACAGGTTCAGGAAGGAGTCCTGGGAATGGAAGTCACAGGAGAGAGAATTCAATGCCAGGTGGAGGTTGGAGCAAGGAGAGAGGAGTCAGGGATGGTTCCCTCCAGGCTGTTACCCCAGCAGAGGGGAAGTGCACACCTGTCCGCAGGAAGTGTTGTGTGTAGGAAACACCAAAGAATCTTCAGGAAATGGCACACAAACCTGTTACTTAGCAGCAAAGGGTGACCCCAAGGATCTGATGTGCTGAAACCAGGGAGGGTCAGTGGACAATGGGCCTGAAGGTCAGCTACGGATTCAGTACTTCATACTGTAAGAAACGGGGAGCCATGAATGGGTTCTGAGTAACATTAGGAGATACACATCCCAGACAGGAGCTCCAGGGATACACAAATCTTGGGGTTGCGGGGGTAGGAGGTAAAGTCAGGTGCAGGGTGGGTAAAACAGGAAAATCACAAGGTTCCTCAAAGAGGCCACAGAAGACCTAAATCCCTTCAGTGACTGTCCACTGCCTTCTGAATAAAGTCCAGACTCTACACATGGTGTCTGTGGCTTTCATTGTCAGCCTCTCTCTTATGCCATCCTGCCTACACCCAGCCCCCCAGCCAAGCTGAATGACTCTCGCTCTCTCATCCAAGTCCAAGTACATGCTACGCCTTCACCCACCTTCCCCACTGGCTCCCAGCATCCCAGCTAGAACTGCCGTGAGTCCAGGACATATGCATGCCCCATGGAGAGTCGCGTCACATGCCTCACCACCACACTGTCACCTTGCCCCAAATCTGGACTCCAGTCAGGAGACTGAGCCCGGAATGTCCTGGCCTCCCCACACCCAGCACCATCCCTCGGAAGCCTCTTACAGAGTTGACATGCGAGGAATGTTTGTTAAGTGAATCAAAACAGAGCACGCACGCGTGAGTGTGTGTGTGTGTTAAGGATAAAATAAAGAGGAATTAAAAATTAAGCTGAACCTGACCATCTGTATAGGCAAAAACTTGAGTAGCTAAACACGGGGTCTCTATTTTTTTTTATTTTATTTTTTTTTATTTTTTTTTTTAATGTTTTATTTATTTCTAGGAGAGAGAGAGACAGCGTGAGCAGGGGAGGGTCAGAGAGAGAGAGAGTCACAGACTGAAACAGGCTCCAGGCTGAGCTGGCAGTCAGCACAGAGCCCGACGCGGGGCCCGAACCCACGAACAGCGAGATCATGACCCAAGCGAAAGTCAGACGCTTAACCGACTAAGCCACCCAGGCGCCCCTGGGGGTCTCTACTTTAGAACAGAACCTTGTTTCTCTTCACCAAGACTTAACTGATTAAGTTTCCCTTCTCCGACTGTGTCTTTTCTTCCTAACGGTTATGACAGGCACTGAAAATCCCTCTGACTCCTTTTCCGAAAGAACTCCTTATCTACAAGGATACCCCAGGTTCAGAACCTGCTTCAGGAAGGAGCGTCCTCAGGAGAGGAAGAGGAATTGATCACATGTAAAATTTTTCGTATTAACGTTAGGCTATTGAGCACTCTCTTTGGTAACAGTCCCCTTCTGGATTTAAATGCTTCTCTGCAGAACATTACCTGCTTGCCAGAGAAGGAGAATCAACAAATCTCAACTCTGAAACAAGGACATTTTCCAAGGAAGGAAAACAGTAACAAACCCAACAACACATACTGGGCATACATTCTGCACCAGGCACACACACGCTGGGCATTTTCTGTCCAGCATCTGTCCCCACAATCTCCCCTTTCCATGTTCCAGGTAATAAAATTAAGGCTCAGAGCAAGTCAAGGATTTTCCAAAATGCTGTAAACTGCATTGTGAGCTCAAGTCCGACCAACTCCAAACCTGTGCTCTTTCCATCATGCTACCAGAACCAGGAATGATAACAGGGGGAAAATTCAGGAGAGTATAGTCTGACATAGAGCTTCATTTCTATCAGTTGGATTCAGACCCTGCCCAGAAGCAGGTTTCCTATATCAGGCAAGGAACACAGACATGAAAGTTTCCTTTGTCTCTTGGGACCACCAGTAGGAAACCCAGCACGAAGACAAGAGGACCAACAAACACCATGACAGAGAATGGCCAGGACTGGAAAGGCACCGAGCGGGACCCATCCCTGCCCACCCATGGGCTCCCAGCGCACAACTGCTCCAGGAAGCCACTGGCGCCTGCAGGAAGGGGCGCTTCTAAGCCCAGAAAAGCAGACACTGCAAAGGATGCAAACGTCTCAGCATATGGGACAGCTGCTCCCATCACATCCGGTGTCTCAGCAAGTGTGATCAGCTGTATACCAGGCCCCACGGCACTCCGGATTTGGGCTCTAATCCTCCAAACTCTAATATCAGCACAAATTGGAGGATCGTGGTCAGGCCCAGATCCCCTTCACAATCCTAAACAGAGCTCCACCTGGAGTCCGCATCTCCCCAGGGCCTCCTTCCCCTCTCCAGTCATGGCAAGCCCCTCTGGGACAGCATCTCCGCTACTGATGACCATCCCAAATCCTACCATTCTGTGGAGCTCAGCTGGGCGGCAGCTTCCTCCTCCCCAAAGCTGTTTCTGATCACCTGGGCCACTGCGGTCGCTCGTGCTTGGACTATACACACGGGCCCACTTAGCATTTACGTGCAGGTCTATCCAGATGCATTTGGTTTTGATGCACTTACTCCAATGTCACAACCTGGCACCTGGCATGGTTAAATTCAACAGAACACTCACCCCTTCTATTCCAGGCACTGAAGAAACAAGAAGGATTAAATCCCAGCCCTGCCTTTGTGGCACTCACAGTTTAGTGAAGGATGAATCATATAAGATACAACTGTCCAAACATACTTATCGTTATAGGGCACAAGAGACAATCCAGAGCATTCTAGCACATCACCCTACCCATTTGCTTCAGATCATTCAGCTCAATCTGTGGTCGTTACATCTGCCTGTTTACTTACCGTCGATCTGTCCCCACTAAGAGACAGTGGGACAGGAACCTCATCTGTCTGGTTCACTACTGTGTCCCCAACACACTCAATTCAGACTTGGGCACAGAAATACACTCGTTAAAAGTAGTATGTGTGGCAGTAAAGTGTCAGGAATGATGAGCACGAGGCCCAAGTTAGAGGTCCAGGCACTGCTGCTATGACAGGGAGACAACTGACCTCGGGTGTGAAGAGTAAGGACCAGACAGGGAAAGGGGGAGACCCGGAAGAAGAAACAAGGTAAGCAAAAGAAAGGGCAAATCAGAAATAACAAAGGCAGTGAGGGGAGAGCCCCTATTGCCGCAGAGCAGACCCATTACTCTCAAAGACAATGTCAATGCCTGGCGGCGTTTGTGACGGTCAGGACTTGGGTCAGCGGTTACTGCTGCCAAACAGAGAGGTTGCTAAACACCCTGCAATGTACAGAACGGCTCCCCCACAACAAAGAATTATCTGGTCTAAAATGTCAGTAGTGCTGAGTTTAGTAACCCGAACATTGAAGGGAAGGAGTGGTCAGAGAACATGAAAGCTTTTTTCTCAAGTTCACAATTCCTATGCTCACCAAATAGTTCCTTTGGATTAGAATTAGGAGCAATGTAGAATTTTCTTACCACCTCCTGGAACCTCAAAGAAAGGCGATGTTCAGCAAGGCGTGTCCAGAACCTATCAGGCCTCCATACTGGCTGAAGTAAGACTTTCAGCAGATATCCGTGAACTCGCTCGCACTACATTTGGCCTCTGGGTCTGTTGTATGATCTTCACCAAGGACACGATATAAATTTCCCTCATCTGTTGATTATCCACCAGGACAGTTCGTTTTCCCTCTAAATTCTAAGGCTCCAGACCACCCACATCCCATTTGCCAGGGAGGAGACCCAGAAAGAGGAGGACAAGAGGTGCTCAATAGCGCCAGACAAATGGATGGATGGGAAGACAAACAGAGGGATGGACACATTTTTCCGAGTGGAGAAAGACAGAGCCCATGGAGCTCCAAGGACGTGTATCTGTGCCTTGTGCGCTTTTCCAAGAAGGCAGGGCTGTGCTAAAAGTTGACACCCCAGGCCTCCCCATGCCCTTGTTATGCGTGGCGGGGGCAGGGGGTCGGTCACGGAGAAAGCTCAGCAAAGGTCATCGCCCCAGGACTCTATGGCCTTGGCAGGGAGTCAAGCAGCTGGACTTGAAGGAGTGGCAAGGGGAGCTGGGAAGTCAGCAAAGACAAAGACCCTTTGTCTGGAAGTGGCACACGCAGCAGGGCTGAGCCAGCAGGGCTGAGCCTGCCCTTGACAATGAAATCTGCCGTGGCTCCAGAACGTGCTGGGGCCTGACCCTCTGCTCGCTGCTCACAGGGCCTCACAATCACTTCTCAAGAGTTCAAAGTCTCTTAGTCTACAATGGGTCTGTTTATTTTTGCCCCTGGCAAACAATTCACTATTTCTGAAATGCCTGAATTGTAACTCTAAGGGGTAAGAAGAAAAAAAAAAAAAAAGCACGCGCACACCATTTTTTTCTGTTATAAAAGATCAGATAGTGGAAATATTTCTAGAGTAGATCTTAAACACTCACAAAAGCAATCTCCTGCTACATCTCAAACTCCACCAGGACAAAAAAGTTTCCCAGACTTCTTTCTCTCTGAAGTGAGCACACACCATCCACCTTACAGTCTTAACTAATATCCTAAAAGGCCTTTTGAGAGAGAGAGAGAGAGAGAGAGAGAGAACGAACATGAGTGAGCATGTGCAGAGGGAAAGAGAAATCTTAAGCTGGCTCCACGCAGACCCCAATATGGGGCTCTATCTTGCAACTGTCAGAACTTGACCTGAGCTGAAATCAAGAGTCAGACCCTTAACAGACTGAGCCACTCAGACACCCTTAAAGGGGCTTATTTCAATCAGAAACATTTATAACTGGATGCAACACATGAAAACTCAATTTACATCCAATTTCATGGAAACTTCTGGTGAGCAGAACAACAAAAGCCAGGAATGGTGCCGCACGCAAGGCAGGACATTCTTCCCAGTCCCAGAAAAACACAGGCCTTCCATCTAACAGTGGCTCCGTATAGAGCCAGAGCTGGAAAGAAGGGACAGATTGACCCTAGAAAATTAAAATGGAAATTGAAGTAAATTGCTACAATTTTAAGCAAGACCTGCAACTCTCACGGTAGAAAACTATCAGCACAGGCAGGGCCCGGGTTGGAAACAAATGGTCTTCCAAAAGCTCATTTGTAAGTTGGGTGTTAAGAACTTGGAATACATTATTTTATGTCCCAAGCCAACCCACAAATGCTGACGGAACTTCAAATACAACTGGCACACCACACACGGCAAAAAAGTGAAAAAGCAATGCTTTTATATCATTTTAAAAATCAAAATTCTTTGAAAAACAAAGACACAGCTCATCACCAGCCAAATACAAAAGTAATGCAAAATACTGAAACCATGTTTGAAGATTCAGAAGCTTTATTATTTACCCACTAAGTACCTTCTTTAATCCTCCAAATAAAGTGCCAGCCTCCAGGTCAAACTGTCGGTCCAGTTCTTCTTCATGTTCTGACAAGAAAAACAGGGTTTCATTAGTCACAAATCTAAGTAAAACTAGGCTGGTTTAACAGGAGACGCACGAAGAGAAACTGGACTGTGTCCCGGAAAAGCTGCCGGTGGACTGAGCTACAGGCATGGAAACAGGTCACACGCCTTGACCTGCCACTCCAGCTCTGTGACCTAAGTTCCTGGATATACGCAGTGGGGCTGACAGAAGGTCCCCTTTGACTTGTAACAAGTGTCACAAATAGAGAGGGATCAAGGGAGAATAAACACTTCCAGCACCCGGAAGCAAGGGAGGAATTAGCACAATGCCTCACTTGGACAGGTGGTGAAAAATTATTTTAGATCACACCACAAAATGGTCACAGCTCCATGATATGTACATAACACTAACAAGATTATAAAATGGAATCCTACAATGGTAATAAGTGTAAGCATATAATTGATTTAAAACAAAAAGTGTAACAAAATATTCATTCAAACACTTCTTAAGGGGGTAAAATGGCCAGGCCCACATCTGATATACCAGAAATGAACAAAATAAGACTGGCATGGCCTTTGCCCTCCTGGGGTTCATGGTACCCCCAGGGAAGAGAGACGAACCAATAATAGTAAATTACAATAGTGCTGATGAATACCATGTAAGGAAGTAAGGAATGTTACGGTCTCTGCGTGATGTCCAGCAGGAAGCCCAGTGGGTATGAATGGAGCTCAAGAGTACCCTAAGTTGGAGATGAAGACTGAGGAGTCCTCAGCAGAAGGGTGATGAAGCCACCAGAATGGCTGAGATCGCTCCAAAAGGCACAGAGTGCATGGACAAGGGAAAACCAATGATTATCAGACTACATCCTACAAAACCCACCGAAGAACCAAAGAGGAACTACACAGAAAGATTACAGGAAAACCAGGGGAGTATGTAGTCATTAAAAAGTAATCACAAGGGCCGCCTGGGTGGCTTAGTCGGTTGGGCGTCTGACTTCGGCTCGGGTCATGATCTCACGGTTGCTGGGTTCGAGCCCCGCGTCGGGCTCTGTGCTGACAGCTAGTTCAGAGCCTGGAGCCTGTTTCAGATTCTGTGTCTCCCTCACTCTCTGGCCCTACCCTGCTCACGCAGTTTCTCTCTCTCAGAAATAAATAAAACATTAAAAAAAAGTAATCACAAAATGATGTTCATTCCAGGGGCAGCTTCACACACACTAGAGGCAAAGAGCAGCCCGACCCTCCGGCCACAGGCAACACTGCCTCTAGGAACAGAATAAGGAAGGTGATAAGCACTGGCCCAAGATGCCTGCCACGTGGCACAAATACCTTCACACTGCATGGTCCAAGCGGCGCTAGGGGAATGTGGGGTTGCAGCAGGGCTCTGGTCCTTTCTGTTACAGTCAAGGTGCGTGTGTGCGCGTATGTGCGCTGAACTGTGCACGGACTCCAGTCCCAGGAAGAGCCCACAAACAGCGTGTTACTGCAATCCAACAAGTAAGTAATAGGAACCTCCTAAAACTCATTAACACAGAAAGGGTAGAAAACCTCTCAGCCTCTGGCCTCTTCTGTTTTGGCTTCACTTACATACAAAGAGAAACCTCCAGAAACATCAGAATTGTACAGAATTGAAACAAAGTAGAACCCCGCTTTCTTCCCTCCCCCCCCACCCCCCTTTCAGGAGTACATGCAGAAGCAGTGAAAAATTTACAGGCTAAAGCACGAGACTTACTGAAACTGGAACAGAGCTCCCTCTAGTGGGGAAAAAGGAATCCTACACAGGTAGGAGAAAAAGGAAATCCTGTCCCGCAGACCAACTGAAATAGGAGACATCTTAAAAAATATAAGATGAGGGGCGCCTGGGTGGCTCAGTCGGCTAATTGTCCGACTTCGGCTCAGGTCATGATCTCACGGTTTGTGGGTTCGAGCCCCGCGTCACCTGGAGCCTGCTTCAGATTCTGTATCTCCCTCTCTCTCTCTGACCCTACCTCATGCGCGCTCTCTCTCTCTCTCTCTCTCAGGAAGAAATAAAACATTAAAATTTAAAAAATATATATATAAGATGAAATTAATTTTGGTATATTTATCTCAACATGGAATCAGTACTAAACAATTATGAATGAGTCATTTTACATTCCTTTTTCTTACTAATTCCTCCAAGTCCAATACATGTGTTACCCTTACAGCACATCTCAATTTGAAATGGTCACATTTTGAGTGCTCGTATGGCTAATGGCTACAGTATTGGACAGCACAGCTCTCCACCAAAAATCCTCTCAAGTTTAGAGAATTTCTACAATTCACCCTCATCTGATTTCTCGACACAAACTAAAGAAAGCCCTATACATTCGCAACCCCTTTGGAGATCACTGCCTCCAGATGGTCTTTTTTTTTCTTCTAGGAGAGAGAGAGAGACAGCATGAGCAGGGGAGGGCCAGAGAGAGAGGGAGACACAGACTCCAAAATAGGCTCCAGGCTCTGAGCTTGCAGTCAGCACAGAGCCCGACGCGGGGCTCGAACCCACGAACCACGAGATCATGACCTAAGCGAAAGTCGGATGCTCAACCGACTAAGCCACCCAGGCGCCCCCCTCCAGACAGTCTTAAGCTAGTTGACAACGCCCTGCTACAGAACTTGGTTGATAGAGGCGAATGGCAGCTGGGAACATGGTAGCGGGAAATCCTTCCAGAAGAGCTTCAGCCCTCGGAACCTCTCCGAGGAGACTCTCCAGATAGGGTTCCCGTATTCCCATCCTTGAGGCAAGAGAGTTCTTCCTACGCCACACACACTCAAGCCAAAGGACCCTGCAAATGGAGAGAAGCCTTCTCTGCCTGAGCAATGCCCTCCGCACCACACAGGCCTGACTGTCGGGCAGAGCCAGCTCTTTCTTCAAGGTGCCCTGGTTCTATTTCCCAAAATTCCGCGCTCCGCAAAACCGCCTCAGAGCATAGAAATGAAGCAATTTCTGCTGATGAGCCCTCATTACTAAATCAGCTGTTGCTTCTCCCCACTCCAGCCACCAGTCAACAAGAGGCTACATCAAAGCCCCATTCTACCTACTGCGTGAGAGGATTTGCATTTTAATCGATGCCAATGAGCTGTGGTGGTAAACCGTTTACTTTAAAGCACTAACCTACCCCTTTTACCCCCAACGTTTTGATAGGAACCCATTTCTGGGGTGGGGCAGGGATAATTAGAGGGCAATAATCAGGAAGAGGGGGAAACACACACACCCTCTTCTGACAGCAGCCACTGCAGGGCCCAGCACACCCAATCATGGCCTAACAGGTCCTGCTGTTTCCATGCATGTGAAAAATTCCAATCAGCTCCCACTGATTCTTTATTTCTCTAGGAAGCCGCTGGGTACAGCAGACTGTGGCAGCAAGTAAATGAGTGGAGACAGGGAACAGAGAAGATGGGCTTCTCAAGATCAGAGAATTTAGTGGTAAGCACCTCTCGAACACATATAAAATATCATATAGAAGGAGGACAAAGGGCTGGTTTTTCCATGACAGCTCTTAGGAGGAGGCCCCTCTCCTCCCCTCTTCCGATTTCCACTGACGGAATGAGAAGTTTGATTTGGAGATAGCCCAGGCAAAAAGCAAATCAAATATGTAAATAGGATGCAAAGCAATATACAAATGAACGGCCTTCAAATCTAATAGGGCTGCTCATCTGCTACTCACCTGGAAGAAGCCAGGCCACCAGGGGCGTGATTTGCATGGGAATCCTTACGGCTCCCGAGAGAGGAGCAGGAAGCAGCCCAGAAACACTCCAGCAAAGAGGAAGCCATAAGCTCATGCGTATTCTCTCGTGTTTGACAGAGCAGAGAGAACAGGGAGCACTGACTGGAGGAGTGAGGAGCTGTGGAGCCGAACACAGAAGGTTACCTTCAAATGCCCTCCAGCCCAGGCCCGGTCTCTCTGGAAGCCAACACTCCTCCCTCCTTTGAGGACCAGCGTCCACCGTGGAGGAGAAGGCCAAGCCTGAGAGGAAGGGAGGCCAGGAAGCTTGGATTCCAAGTATCCAACGTTTCCTAGGACCCTGGCCACAGGTGACGGGGGAAACAGGGTCAGCTCTAACGCGGAGCATTGCCAAACAGGTCTCTCGGAGGCGGAGCTGTGACACAACACTATTGATGCTGGCCATCAAGAAAGGCTGTCCAGGGTTCCTGCAGGGGCTATGCGTTTGGGTCCTTTCACTAAAGACCTGTTAATTGAAGGGGTCCCTGGTGGCCCCTTCCACAGTTACAAGGGCAAGGCCACCTGTTCACAGACAGGACGAGTGGTAGCCCCACTTCCCCTCCCTGAACTGGGCCCTCCAGAGTTGCCAGTCCTCTTGCAACCAAATTCCTCTAGTCACAGAAGCAGGGAGGATAAATTACCTCCTGATTAGAAAGCCCGCCCCTCAGGAGAGGTCAGTGTGTTGTATGAACCTGAAAAAGCATCTGTAAATGTGCTACTATATCCTCTCCTTAGGAACGGAGACTAGTGGTAAGTGAGAAGCACAGGCGAGTTTAGGAATAAACAAAAGGTAGAAGGTGACGATGCTCAACCACAGCTGTATCCCACCTTAAGGACGCCTACTATATAAACAAAGAAACTGGATGTGGCAACTCAAATAAAGCATTTTTTGCTTAAATATCAGGGCTTCCTGGGGCACCTGGGTGGCTCAGTCAGTTAAGCGCCTGACTTCAGCTCAGGTCATGATCTCAGTTTGTGCGTTCGAACCCCATGTCAGGCTCTATGCTGACAGCTCAGAGCCTGGAGCCTGCTTCGGATTCTGTGTATCCCTTTCTCTCTGCCCCTCCCCATTCATGTTCATTCTCTCTTTCTCTCTCTCAAAACTGAACATTAAAAAATTTTTCAAATAATAAATATCAGGGCTTCCTGGTGCTATAGAGCTTATTTGGAGAAACATTAACCTGGGCTCACTGAAGATTTTTAAAAACAAAAGTTAACCATCTGTGACATGGAAATACAAATTTGTGGAAAACACCACTTGGTTTATAAAAATGTCCCTAATAT